ACGCCTGCTGTTAGTTCAGTATCTGCATCATCAGCCTGAAGGAGTCATGGGGGGTGATGTAGAGCTTCATGTTGGTGGGGCAGATCAACAGGTGCGTTGCGCTGAGTATCTGCATCATCATCATGGAGGAGCCAGGGTAGAGACGGAGTTGTGAATACCTTGAGTGTTTGTAGCTGACTGAATACCGGGAGCTGGGATGAACGGGGATTTGACACATGTGGTGTGCTTGCTTCCTGTGTTCACACACATTTAGAGAACTAACGTCGGCATTTGAGTTGGAAAAATCGTCTTCCTTATATTTCGAATTTATTTTAACAATTCTATCTATTCTATAATCTAAATAGTTTCTATGATACAATAAAGAATATCTGTCCGCGGAATGTGTAAATATATAAAGCATGCCAAATCATCCATAGCCACTAGCCAGCCAAATTGTAACGCAAGTATTTTGGAATGAAAAAAATTGTTGACCCCTGGGCTGGACAGGTTAGTTTACATATCTCTCAGAATAACTGTCTCCACGTAAGTTTTAGAGAAAAGTTACAATTCCAGGCCAAGCTGGATTCCTAAGCTGGGATAGTTATGCACTTAATAATTTTGGTTTGAACCTTTATGCCATAAACTGAATTTTCAAGGAAGATGACCAGAGAGGCTTCATCATATTTCTATATAATGATATTCCAGGGCCCAACAGGTTATATAGCATAAATATGTGAAGTACACCTGCAGTATGGAAACAGTACAACAAAATGGCCGTTTTACACTTTTTTCCATTAAATTCCTCTCTATATATTCTATTCTCTGTGGGTAGATTACATATGGAGAGGAGGGTAGGGGGTGAATAAAGAGGATTATAATGATAGTCATCAGGAGACTACTCAGAGAATTATACAGAAATTTACAGAGGGATATATTATAATGTATGGTCCTTAAATTGGGACTACTACTAAAGGCAGTATATAACGACTTCAAAGAGTAATACAGGAATTTACAAAGGGATACATACAATTACGTACATTGAATCGGAACTACAACGGGCTACAAAAAGGATATGTGGTAGCTAGACTTATTAAAGAATAAAACAGCAGATTTAAGGCCAGTGTGGGGGGGGGGTTAATTTTTTTAGCCACCCTCTGGATAAAATCCTGTATTACGCGCTTGTTGGTACATGATGATCAAACCTGTCCTTTTCTATTTATTAAGATATGTTTACGTTTATTAGGACCCAGAGAGGGGAGGGGGGGTACTTTTAATTTTACAGGGAGCGGGGGAGGAGACGCAACAACTGTTTACAGGTATCTCTACACTATTAATTCGGTCATATGTATTGCAGCTCACAGCCTCACTCCATGCTGCAGTACTGCCCTAATAACTTAGTTAATATCGTTTCTTGTTATATTATTTTAAAATATTTTTAAATTGCTTAATGCGATATTTTTTAAATGCAGAAAATTATTTCATAGATTTCGGAGCTATACAGAACATTCTCGTTTTTCCCAATCTCAAGACGACATTTTAGCTCAAATCTACTTTGAACTTGAGAGATTTCAAAACTGAATAATGTCTAGTATTTAAATTATATTTGGACTCTGTCAACGTCAAATAATCCCTAAACCTGTGTCTGAATGAAAAATAAAGTTGAAATTTATAATTTTATGTTGCTTTGCTTATATTTGAAGATACAGGAGAGAGGGGGGGGGGGGAAGGCTAGCGCACCCATATAGTCTCCGTCCCACAATTTACTCACAATCAAAGACGTGCGGCAACACACTCACCCGTAGCGCTTCCTTAGCCCCTCCCATATATCGTCCGACAAAATGTCTTCAGATTTTCTCCTAAAATATAATATTTTTGTTGTCGGATAGGAACAAGATTCTGACGATGAACAGATAGAGAACGGAATAACCCTCAAATCAAAATCGATAATGCAGAAAACTCTTTATTTCCTAAAAAAAATTGAAATGAGGAATGATAAATAATTATTACAATGGTTTACGAATTTATAATGAAAAGATTCTTACGATCTATTTGAGTATTTGTGGGTTAAACTGTCGGGGAGTCCTAAGACGCTTTTTTATACATTAAAACTTCTGAAAAGAGTGACAATTAAATGTTAAGGAAAGTCACTAATTCTTTATATGAAAATATTCTTTGCTTAACTTTGNGGGTCTTAATGTTAATGGTTGACAATTTTGTATATTATTGTGAACCGAACAAAAGGAATCGAAAGGGCGGAGATAAGGCGGAGGAAATGCAACTCGAAGGATGACAAATCCAAATAAAGGTAAATAGGCTAGGGAAACACTCTATTCTTCATGCACACATAGATGATAACTTCTTCTTGAAAAAATGTATATATCAGTAACAAGGTTTCCTACAAAATACAAATTGTTATTGACGTACATTTATATAAATAATGATTTTTAATAAATATTAAACCAGTTGAGTGTAACTAAATACATGAATATTGTTGTATACGAACAATTGGTTAAAGAAATATGTATCATTGAGAATTGAACAAAGGCTTAAGTTCCTGTTGTGAATCAGCAATAAAGGTTTAAAAGGTACCGTTGTGAATCGGCAAATAAAAGGTTTAAAAGATATTGTTGTGAATTAAACATATGGAACTTACGATCTAAAATACTGTGGCACGGGAATAGTTGTTTGAATTGAAGTCTAAAGCAATTTAATTCTTCTGAAATAAATATTTATCTGGTGAAAGGAATTTCACTGTTTATTTGTAAACGATTCACTGGAATTATATTTGAATTGGTTCTTTTAATGCACTTTTAGTTTTATTAGCTCCATGATTTTTTTGTTTATATTTACGCGGAAACCTTGGAAATGTTTGGTTTGGAAAGTGGACGGAGGGTTCAACGGAGGTACAGTTTGTCGGAGACAACCATATTACAGGGTAAATTTAGGGGTATGGTTCACAATTATTCTTTAAAAATGTTTTCAAAGGTAGAGAGAAATTCAGTTTTTTACCAGAAATAACACAGTTTAAAATTATCAAAATTTCCATATCTATTTGATATTAGATAATTTAAAACCGAATCCCATGCAAAACTGTGATATTTTTGGTACAGATTGAATTTCTTCTTGCCTTCAAAAACGTTTATAGAGAAAATCAACATCAGCCGGCGTGTACAAAATGTTACATTTTAGGAGGAAATCGCAATAAATCACATTTTAACAAAAGTTTAACAACTATTGCCCCAGTAAGCGAGAATGTTTACTTATATTACAAAAAAATGATTTATATGTTAATAGGTTATAATATATTATGCCATGACGTCTTTAAAGTCTTAGCTCTGCATTCCTCTTTAATAAGCATTTAAAAGTAAGGACATTTTGCTGTAAAAAAGCTGTTCTGTATGGTGGCGGCTTGTTTACTTCATAGCGGAGGCACGGTCTGCCTAGCAAATCAGGAAGGCTCGTGTCTGCATAGCAGAGGCTCATGGCGTCCGGGGGTTCCCTCCCTCGTCTTTCTGTGTAGATGACTTGCGCGTTCCTTGTTTATAAGAAGCAACGGAGGAACTCGCAGAAATTGATAATTTTCGAGTCAGAATAGCGATGAAATCTTTCACATTTTTGATCAGATTTAGGTTTCAAGGGTACCGTTGCCAATCTGGCAGTGCCAACTTTGTTTGGAGGGTTTCTTGAAATTAGCTGTACAGTCCCTTACAGTATAGCTTAACTTCAGTAAACAAACATCTGGAAATCGGATGTGCCGTACATACAGCTGCACCCCATTTAAAAGTGAGTGTACATGTGAATACCAAACTTTGGAAGTCGATAAATTTTAATATTTAAAATAACTATTTTTTTTCGGTGGGAGGGGGGGGGCGGTTTCAGTTTATTGATTAAGGCTCCATTTTATTTTCTAGTAGGAATCCTGGATCTGACCTGACTGGCCAGGATCCAATTCATCAACATTCCTCTAAAAAAAAAATTTTCATATAAATTTGTTTTCTTTCTTTCGCTTAGTTCATCTCGTAGATAAAGAATTTATACAATATTTCTTGTTTAACGATTCCGATTTGGGGTTTGAGAGCAACAATGTTTTCCCTTCTTTTGAACAAAATTATGCCACAATTAAAATGTTAGAATGCAACCCTAGTTAGACAATCTAATTAATTGAAACTTTTTCTATTAAGAAGTTGCGGGTTTGCAACTCCGAAAACGAGAATTAGATTTGATTTCTAAACTCAAAATTACGTGTTACAATACTAAATAGATTTTGCAGTTTTTAAAATCTGAAAAAGGTAGATTTTGATGTTATATAAAATGTTGTATTTTGTTGAGAAATGAAAAATCTCAATACAATTTGTTGAGAAGTTGAAAAAATTACATTTCTCTTCATTGACGTGAAACAATTAGGAAGTAATACAAATATGTGGGGAAAATACATTGCCTCGACCCTATTATTCCCTAGTCCCTGTAGGCTGTAATAGTAATTTCGCTACTTGGATTTGGAACCGTGGATCTGCCGATCCGGACCCAGGAAGCCAAGATGTTGTGAATTTAACGCAACGAGGTTATTGTATAGAGTGATGATGTACGCTAATCCTTTTTTAATTGTATAGGCCATGAACTAGAGAGAAAGAGCGTACTGCATATTTGTTATTATAAGGAGATTCTGGCCTAACCTATAGTATATCAATATTAGTAAACAACGGATCAGGATCCTTACTAATTAAAACTGACTTGGGCCCAATTATTTTGAAAATTAACTTAAGGGTAGGTTTCTGAACGGGCAAAATTAAAAAATCCTAATTTATCTATTTATTATTTTAATTTTCATAACTTAAGCTTTAATAATGCAACGATATGAGGGGCATGCTATAATAATGATATTATTATCAATATCATGTTTAATATCTAAAGGCAAGGCATTTAAAAACTTCATTTTTACAAGTGCCAAAAAGATAAGTTTCTGAAATTTTACTTTAAATTATACTGCCTTATCATAATCTTAATTACAACGAAACCTGAAATAAGTTATTTACAATTTATTTATTGGCAAAGTTCTATGACACAGAAGATAATACAGTTCAAAAATAAACATTATATAAATAAGATAAAATTTAACATTTTTCAATCATTAAACATTTTAATACATTTCAATTTTTAACTGTTTGGTAAACATTTGGGTAAATCAGGCCGTGTCATGGATTTGACATAAAAATGCCCAATTTTATAAATAAAATTGAGGAAGAATCTCAGCCCAGGTAAAATGCACATTTACATCATTACAATGTTTTTTTAAGCATTTGGCAGTTTGCGAGAATTGTAACTATGAACCCAATTTTCTTGTTTTCCTAGGAAACATAAATATATCAGGTATGACAGTTATAACTCTAACAGTTCTAACACTCTACATTTGTTGTTAAACCTTGTCAACTACTTTTTAAAACAGTTGGCACAAATATTTATTCCTTAATATATACTTCAATAAATTCAAGAGAAAATACTCTCTTGGAAAATAATTGACAAAGCACATACTTGAACAATGGAATCTGATAAATTCCCAAACTGTTAAAATCGCCAAGAAGATATAAATATTAGCAAATCAATTAATGAATCAATAACTTATTCACAATAAAAGCAGACAGCATAAGATAAAATAAAAAAACGAGATTAGCGTTGTTTTACACGATAATTTATAGAATAAAAATATTGATGATTTTTCATGAAATGCAACAAAATTTTGGAACCTGAAAATTTTAATAAAAAACAAAAATCGGCAAACATTTTGTGTACACTTTTTTGTATATTGAAAAATGTGAAAGCTAGACTTTTTAAAAAAGATTAAACTAAAATCCGCGAAAATTGTTAATGCAAATCTGCCAAATCCTAAGAAATAAAATTTCAAAAATGTGGTAACTGTTTACAAATTCTCCCAATTATAAATTATATTTAGAGTGAAAATGTATTTGAAATAAAAAATTCCAATTTGCGATTTGTAAAACAACCCTGATCTCGTTTTTTTTCTTACTCTGTTTGCTAGTTTTCAATTATTAAAAAATTCAAGCATTTAACATTAATAACTCTATCAAATAGATTAAAATATTAGTTATCTTAAGCTTCCATCTGAAAAACCACAAAAACCTGAAGTAATCAAATTCCTAAATGACAAGGAACATAAGGAATTTAGGAATGTTTTAAATGTTTGGAATTTGCATTGAAAACTACTTTTTTTTACTTTTCCAATCATTAAATTCTATTTAACATTACTTTTTTACATCTCTTAAATATTGAAGATGGATTTGATTCCGAAAATTAGGATTAAGTTAAATTGATTAGCTTTCTGATTAATTTCTTCATTCCATATAATCACATAAAATAATACAACCATTTTGTGGCCATATTGATAACAATGGCAACTTTAGGCGCATTTTTGGCGCTTTTTTATGGCGCACTGTGAATTACTTGCTGTGAACTATGAAGCAAAAGGGCTTGTTATTGTCCATAATAGGATGTATTCGTGAACTCTGTCTCAACATACTGAACAAAATTTTGATTCTTGGAGATTAATATCATCGTTAGTGTTTTTTGTTTTTCATTGGAGGCCACAACATTTTATCATGCTCATGATTATATTTCATTGAAGACCCTTCATGTTTCATGGGGAGACATACATTTTAATAATTAAATATGGGACAATATATTTGAAGTTTTAAAACAAACATCGAAATGAGAATTTACATTGGAAGGTCTCCAATGAACGTGGTGGGTTTAGTAAAATACAACAGGTCTCCGATGAAATAAAATGAGGATTTTAGTTTATGATACAGTTTAACCCAATACTTAAAACAATACTGATAATGTAATGCTGCAGATGTTTAGTTGTTTTAAATGGAATTATTATATTTAGCTTTTTAAAACTGTTCCCGCATATTTAATGGCTATTTTTATTTTTGCAATCACTGAGATTTAGATTAGTATAAAACCCATTGATAATTGTCAAGATGACATTTGATAAATTCTTTCAATGTCTCCAAGTTCTGGGTTAAACTGTTGTAAAATGATAAGATTTATGATGTTGGTTCAAATCTTTTAATTTTTTAGTTAGTGTTAGAATTTCCTAAAATAAAATCAAATTGAATTTTAATGACCTCTAATGACCTCTAGTGACCTTTAATGACCTTTAATGACCTCAACAAATAGAAAATGTTTCAACTATGGTTTTATGCATATCAAACGAAAGGTAGGAACCCCGGAAATACAGTAGCAGCAACAAATCCAGTGTTTGACCTTCTAATGATCTCTAACGATCTCTAATGACTTAAAATGACCGCCTAAAATGAAAATATTTTATCTATGGCTATGCGGATATCAAACAAAAGCTAAAAACCCAGGGAATACAGTAGCAGCAACAAATCCAGTGTTTGACTTTCTAATGACCTCTAACGACCTAAAATGACCTCCAAAATGAAAATGTTTTTACATTGGCTATATGTCACTGTGATTTAAAGGTCTCACGCTCTCAAGCAAAAATCAATGAGAGTTTTGCTGATTACTTCTTAAAAACCAAAGCCAACAGCAAGTGATTTATAGTGCTAAAATTTACAAGAGCCACAGAAAAGTGTAAGTGATTTAGAGCGGTAAAATCTAAGCCCAAGGTGTTGCGACACATCAATAGTGACCCTGTGTCTTAAAAATTGATGAGACTGTTTGTAAGCAGGCTGAATCTGTGTGAATGAAAGCTAGAAACCCAGGGAATACAGTAGCAGCAACGAATCTAGTGTTTTACCTTCTGATGATCTCTAACGATCTCTAATGACTTAAAATGACCGCCTAAAATGAAAATGTTTTATCTATGGCTATGCGGATATCAAACAAAAGCTAAGAACCCAGGGAATACAGTAGCAGCAACATATCCAGTGTTTGACTTTCTAATGACCTCTAACGATCTCTAAGTGACCTAAAATGACCTCCAAAATGAAAATGTCTAAACTATGGCTTCGTACATATCAAACGAAAGCTAAGAACCGAGGCAATAAGGTAGCATCAAAGAAAGAAAAAGATGGGTGTTGTTGTTAAATGAATAGGGTCAAGAAATAATATTCTCCCCACCCCCTTCAAGATTCTCTTTTCTATTTTCTATGTTTCTTTTTCTAGGAGATTTTATGTTCACTGCAAGGTTGGGGGTCCCCTCACTCTCCTACAGTGGGGGGATGTGCTTGGTGGAGGAGGATGTCAACCCCCCCCCCCCAGCTCAATGGGGGAGGGTGTCACTACATTCTACCCCCCAATGCAGTGGGTGGGGGGAGGCCTACTTGAGTTAGTTTTGATTAGATCATAGTTAAATATTGATAAATGTGGAACTAACATCAATTTTTTTTTACTCTAAAGAGGTATGGTCCATCACCATCACCGAATTTTAAACATAGTTAAATCATTTTCAGTTTGTGGGTAAATATAGGTCATTATTTGTCATTAAAGGTCATTGAAGATATTAGAGATCATTAGAGGTTATTAGAAGGTCAATCACTGGATTTGTTGCTGCTACTGTATTACCTGGGTTCCTAGCTTTTGTTTTATATGCATAAAGCCATAGTTTTAACATGTTCATTTTGGAGGGTATATTAGGTTATTAAAGGTCATTAGAAGGTCAAACAGTGGATTCGTTGTTGCTACTGTATTCCCTGGGTTCCTAGCTTTTGTTTGATACACACAAAGTAAAAACATTTTCATTAAGGAGGTTTTTAGGTCATTAGAGTTCATTACAGGGTTTTTAGGTCATTAGAGTTCATTACAGGTCATTATAAGGTTAAACACTAGATTTGTTGCAACAACTGTGTACCCTGGGTTCCTAGCTATCGTTTGATAAGCATAAAGCCATAATTGAAACATTTTCTATTTGTTGAGGTCATTAAAGGTCATTAGAGGTCATTAGAAGGTCAAACTCTGGATTCATTGCTGCTACTGTATTCCCTGGGTTCCTAGCTTTTGTTTGATACACAAAAATCCATTGTAAAAATATTTTCATTTGAGAGGTCATTTTATGTCATTAGAGGTCATTAAAACTCCATTTTATTTTATTTTATTTTAGGAAATTTGAACACTATTTAGGCCTGCAGCCAAAAAATTAGAAGATTTGAACCAAAAATAAAGGCAGGTACCCCCCCTTCATCTCCATCATCCCCTATAATTTTAGCATTAATCAAAAACATACCTTTTACACAGAAGTTTCACGGCACAGCCTGCCCTATACATGGAACCATCTAATCAAAAAAGATATAAAGTAGAGCACAGAAATTGTTTCCATGTTATCTAAGGCCAGAGATTATATCAATACAATAAAGACAACTTTGTTATTTAAGTTGTGATTGTTAAAAAGCTTTCTTCGAATTATAAGTTTACAAATAATCAAAGAGAAGCGTTTTTAATTGAAATATTATCTTTGTTACTATGTTTATGTGTATCCAGAGCTGAGATCTTTTGAATGGTGGATATCGGGATTTATGCTTAATCTTCTCTTTTTCTTAATATCCAGATTAAATAATGCTTGTTTTGCTCTTGTTATTAATCTCCAGATTAATTAACCGATCAGGATTAAGGATATCCCATTCTACAGTTTCCAGCTCAGAGCTGAAAACTTTAGAATGGTGGATATCAGGCTTAATCTTCTCTTTTTCTTAATCTCCAGATTAAATATTGCTTGTTTAACTCATGACTTTAATCTTCAGATTAATTATCCGACGGGATATCTGGATATTTCATTCTAAAGTTTTCAGCTCTGGATGTCTAAAAAGCTTGATATAATCAAAATTTAAAGCGAAAGTTGTCATCACTGTAGGAAAGGTGGCTTAACCCGGAGACAGAAGGTTGTCTTCTGCTGTGTTTGTCAAGGGTAAAGTTCGAAACTTAAACTTATATGATATAAATTATTGTCGCAAGAATTCCAGCTTTTAAATATTCATTTCCATTTGTTTGCCAACATTTGTTCTCTTTACAACAAGGACTAAAAACTATTGGAAACTTTCCTCTGGTGGGATATCCACAAAAAATCTTAACAAATATTTGTTTTAGGCCCCGTTTTCATAAGGATTGACACCCCTAAACCCTTCCTTGAAGTCAAGTAAGGTCCCAAAACAGATTAGGCCTGATCGGTTCAGCCTTTCAAATCAACAAAACAATTAAGAAAAATGTGTTTAAAAAATATAGATAATTGGCCTTTCAATAGAACCAAACAGAAATAGACCTCAAAGTGAAATTAAATTAAGAATTTGTATTTCAAACCAATAAAACTCCTTTCCTAACCATTATCTGCAATTAAGTTTCTATATTTATCAGTGTTTAGGATCAGAATCCACTGGATCCACAACATTTTAATTATTTTGATCGGGATCCACAAAAATATGTGATCTTCGCATCGGACTCAAAGTGAAAAAATATTAATAAAATATGGTTGTCCTCAAAACACAAATTGTCAAATAATGAAAGATCTTCAAGACCTTCCTAATTGAAAGACTTTTAAAATTCTAAAAAGTGTATATGGAAAAAAGTTAAGCTTTATGAGAGCTTGATCTGAATTTTTTCTATCAGACAGATCCAGAATCTAGATTCTTTTTACCAGATGGATCCAGAATCTGGATCCTTTTTAACCAGATGGTATCAGAATCCAGACCCTATTTACCAGACATATCCAGAATCCTTATCCTTTTTTGCCAGACATATCCAGAATCCTTATCCTTTTATACCAGACCTATTATTCAGAATCCAGATTCTTTTTTTTTAAAAAGACTGATCTAGAATCCGGATCCTATTTACCAGACATATCCAGAATCCGGATCCTTTTCTACTAGATGGATCCAAAATCCTTGTTAAAATGAAATGTAACTTGGCAGTCATATTTTTTTTTCAAAATTCGTGAAACATTATGGAAGATTCATGAATATGAAGAAAATGGAGAACAAGAAAAACAGAAATATTTGAAGCTGCCATCATCTAATTGTTTGTAGAATTTTGTTAAAATTGAAATAAAAAAATAAAAAAATATGTTAAAAATATTTACCTAGGAGGTGAACAGGAGTGATCTGTTAGAGATTTCATGCTGAGATCCTCACAACTAACAGATTTGACAATTTTACCCCTGGACGCAATATTAATTATAAAGAAAAATCAAAAATGGATATTTAAAAAACTAATGATTAGAAAATGATTTACAAAACCATGATTAAGAAAATTATACCGGAAAAAAATGTAATCCTTACACCAGATAACAACTTTATACATTAAAAATCTAGCTACAATTAGTTAGTTAAAGTAAAGAACCTGTAAAATGAATTTTGCAATTATTGTTTGTTTTTTTAAACTTATTATTTATTTCTTGAATGACTTTTTTGAAAGAAAACAACTTAATATTTAAGAATTATTTTCATTCAATCTTCCAATTACAAAATATGGGTGTATATTTTTCAGAATGACCATCTGGAAATAGTTTTTGATGATTATGGGGAAAAAAATTTAAAAGGCAAATTTTTCATTCTTTTTGATACTTTTTATCTATAACATTAATTTTCCTAAATTAAGTGAATAATGATTTTTATGGGGTGGGGGAATGGTTTTTGAGAAAACATACACCCCATCCCTACAATAAACTTATGGGAATTTCTAACATTTTAGTTCCACGGCACTTTTCCAATGATTTTACAGATTCTTAATTATAGCCCTCCCACCTGAATACACCTCTTTAATATCAATATTTACAGCTTCTTTATAAATATTTAATTGTTAAATACCATCACCTCTTTACTTTTACGTTTATAAATAAATATGAAATATAGGATTAATACAAATTTTTTAAGGTAACAAATAAATGTATGATGATTTCAACAATTTCTTTAAGATAAGAGATGGTAAAAAAATACTTTTAAAAGAAAAATCAGATGACTCACAACAATGAATCATAATTTCTTTAATTGACTCATAATTTCTTTGAAGGACTCATTTAAAATCTTAAGCACACTCAAGTGTTATTTAGAAAAATAGAAAACTGATATTATCGGGAAGAAAACAGAAACTATAGGGAAGAAACAGATACTAAAGGTAAGAAAACTGATACTATAGGGAGGAAAACAGATACTATAGGGAAGAAAACAGATACTATAGGGAAGAAAACAGATACTATAGGCAAGAAACAGATACTATAGGGAAGGAACAGAAACTATAGGGAAGAAAACACTGCTTAGGATCCTGATCTGTTAGTTCCACAACATATTGACTTCCTGGATTTAAATCCAAGGGGCAAAATATAAACCAAAAACTACAATGAAAAATCTTTTGCTTTCAAAACTTAAATCAGAGCTGTGGAAATACAGAGATTTGAAAAAAATGTTCTTATCTCTGAATGGTTCAGCAAAAAAAGGGGAAAATAGATACAGTAAAGAAATGTTCATGACCTGGATTTGGATCTAGATCTATTTTATTTCAGTGGGAATCCAGGATCCAGGATCCACATCAAAATTAAAGGGATCCAAAGCACTGATATAGAGCAGAAAACTTGATACAGAGGGGACAAATACAGAAACTACAGGGATGATAACTGATGAAAGTTGTTGGTACATTTCATAGAAGAAATCATAGACAATACATTTCATAGACAGAAAGAGTTATTAAAATGTGTAAATTCATGGTTATACAATTGACTAACTATATATTTTCGTTTTAAGCTAAAATATGAAAAATATGACAAGTAAAAATGACATATTGCAGAAAAAACAGCAAGGCTAAAATCAAGATAATTGACTTTGTCTATGAAAAATTTTCTGTCTTTTTCCTAACTATAAAATTGCTTATCTATATATTGTCCCAACTCTTACAACTATAGATAGAGAAGAAAACTGATAATACTCAATAATCTGATAGTTTAGGGAAGAAAACTGATAATACTCAATAATCTGATAGTTTAGGGAAGAAAACTAATACCGGAGTGAAGAAAACTGATATAGATTTGATGATTTTTTTTAAATATTCAAAGACTCAATATTCAATATTCATTCCATACATAAGTACTAAAAAAAATTAAATAATCTAATACTAGAGTAAAGTGTGCATCTATTATAATTTTTAGCTTTTTAATTTTTCTTTTTAAATAAAATCCGTTAACATTACAATAACATGACTTAGTTAAATTTGTACGATTAATTCATTAGCAGCAAGTAATTACAACACATATTGGTGGACACATTTTTTTCAAATATGAATTATGGGATTTATTAGAGTTTTGATCAACAGGTGTCATGTGCTCTATTGTAATAATTGTGCAAGTAATTGTTATAACCTGTGCACAAATATGATAAAATATCTTTAATCAACAGGTATCATGTGCTCCATTGTAATAATGGTGCAAATAATTGTAATAACTTGTAGCACAAATATGATAAAATATATTTAATCAACAACTGAACTAAAACTATGCGATCTGAAGAAATGTTTAAGAAAACAATATTATAAATTTGTTAACAAAGTGCAAAGATAGAAAGATATGTCGTTTCAAATATCTGAATAAAAATCAAAAAATAATATAAACATGCAAAGCCATCTGAAATCTAGACTACAATATCTAATACAACGCACATAGCACGTTTTCTCTCAACGGGCTTAGAAAGCTCTGCTGAGACCCTTCTGCTGAGAGATTCGGATACTCACTGGTTTTTCAAATAAATAAAATTTTAGCCCAATAATAAAAATCCATTTCTGATTTTTTGAACACCGACTGCCCTGCACCCTACTCCATGCATAGAAAATTCTTTAAGCTAAATTTGTTCACTACTATGAAGTTAAAAATTTAAAGAAGTTTTAAGAAAAAAATACAGGTTGGGGGTTGAAAAACTCCCACCAATTGTGATAGTGTTAAAAGCTATGTCTAAACCAATCATGAATTAGAAATCAAGGTTTACAATTTTGAAAACTGCTTATTGACTTGCGCATTTCTACTGCAGAAAGACATGTCGAATTATCTGAATTTAATACTTTTAAACTTTCAATCTTCCACATTATTGATCAGATAAGGATTTATGGGTACCGTTGTGAATCGGACATTGCCCTCTTTGTATGGAGGGTCACTTGAAATTACGCTTATAGTCCCTTTAACCCTTTAACCAATCAAAGAAAACACATTTAACCTTATGTACATATTCTACAATGTATTAAATACGTAAAAAAATAATTGTAAAAATAANAAAAAAATCGAATCCTATATTCACGATACAATTGGATTGCCAGTAGATTTTTGGTAAACTTAAATATATAAAAATCCCCAACAAAATTATTGTACTAAAAAGCATTTTATTGAGTGAATTTGTTGACATTTCTAACTACAATTATATATTCATGCTTTTTCGTACAAACCCCTCAATTTTTAAACGGAAGACAGAAGCAAAATTATTTCATGCATCAAAATTAGAAGTAAATATTTACAAAGGACAGAGGACAGAGGAAACAAAAATGTTTAATTTAACAAATAAAAAAATTTTATTTAAATATATTTTCATAAAATCTCATTTAAATAAAAAAATGTTTAGACGAAGAAAAACTTTAAAATGTTCAAGATATAATTAAACCTAATGGCAGGGTGAATATTTTCATAAAAAATCAATCTTTTGAAATTTTTTACCCTCAGAAGTTAGGCATGGTTAGGTGGACCGCGAACTATTTTTCATATGTTTTATATGCTGAATTTCGTAAAATAAATGAATTTGTGGGTAAAAAGTATAAAAAAGGGTGAAAAAACTTGCCTTTCCATACTTTATTTGTTTGTTTTTTACCCGCCATCTCCAAACATTTCTTAAAAAACCCCTGCCTTATCTCTAAAAAATATAAACCCCTGCCTTGTCTCTAAAAAAAGTCTAAAATTGAACTACAGAGGTTCAACAAGGGGGTTCAGAGATATGAAAAAGAGGAGAAAATACGTGACAAAAACAGAGAAAACAGAGAAACAACATGGTTTTGCAAATGAAAGATTCAGAATTCTAGTTTTTCTCTTTTTATAAGTTTAGCTTGTAGAAAAATTACCTTCTTGTTCGTATACTGGGATATGAGCGCATTACCAGATAACAAATCACATCTTTAACAAAACTTAATTTTAGGAATTTTTAGGAAAAGTTTTGAATTCATTAGTTTAAATAAACAGTGATTGAGTATGAGCATAAACATTAAACATTTATATTTTCTATGTTTTTAAGAAATATCTCCCATTGCTGCCCAAAGGAATGGAACAAAATGACTGATTTTTTTAAGGAAATCCATGGTTGGATAATGGACATCCTGGACTGACATAACTAAATAAAAATTCTATAAAGTTTGAAATTTTGATTTTCCCAAAGTGTTTTTAAAAATCCGCGGGCAACGGCAGGGACTTCAGCGAGTAACTTATAAATCTAGTAGTGCTCTATAAAAAAATTAATTTACCTGACACTGTGACAATTCCGACAACCTTTTCTTCTTCATTCACAACAACAAGTCTGAAATTATTGTAATATCTATATAAAGTTGTAATCTCTACCTGTTTGTTTGTCTGTCTGTTTGTTTTTCAGATCATAACTCAGAAACCCCTGGACCGATTTGCCTCAAATTTTGACTTGGGAATGTTCTTAACTAGAATTGAGTTGACTTTTACAGTTAAGCTTCCCGGTAAAATCGTTCAAGTGCGGGTAAAAGGCGGGAGTAACTATGAGCAACAGGGACAACGCCGGGATCCCAAGCTAGTATTTTATAAAACTATTGTATTCAATATCTCTCCTGGTCACGTCGTAATAAATTTCATTTTAGACGTGTTATAAAGAAATCATCGTGCTATGATTTGTTCCCGGATTTCTCCGAAAAACGCCGAATATTTCAAAATAATTTTTCAATTTACATGAGAAAAAAAAGGAAATTACTTCCGCTTTAAAATGAATATGATCATATCTAGAAATAACCATTGCATTAAACATTTGATAAATCTACCAGCTACCTATAACACTATTATTCTGGCACAACAAGTTTCTGGATTGTCTGTCCATAAACTGTACAGCACTGCAAACCAAAATAATCTAGTGTTATAAATAGTTAAAAGTGGTTTCTTGCCCAATTCCCAATGGTTCCTTTAAATCGGTATCTAAGCATAATTGATAAAGATTTCGTCGTTTTAACATTATACTCATAAACTTAAAACACTTTTTAATTTAAGGATCTTGAAAAAATATTCCTTTCCATATATCTTCATTTTAGTTATCCCTCCCCTGATGAAAGCTCCCTTCAAACTCTAACTGGGTGCAATTACTGGATATTGATTAAATTAATCTGTAAATTAACAATAATCGAGTTCAAGCATTGATCTCGATATCCCCAAGAGTTCCCAGCTCTTCCAAATTTAAAACATAATCTCAATGTTTTACACTACGACCCCCAACCCTCCGAAAATAAATTTCTTCACCTCGCCACATCAGTTTTTACCAATCTCTCAATTACAGTTAACACAGTATCTGAAGCTAAAACAAACTCATTAAAAATTATGAAACAAACTCATTAAATAATGGAAAAAACTCGTTAAATAATGAAAACAAACTCACTAAATAATGAAATAAACTCATTTGAAATAATAAAAAAATCATGGAATAATGAAACAAACTCATTTGAAAAAATGAAACAAAATCATGTGAAATATTGAAACTAACTCATGTGAAATAATGAAACTAACTCATGTGAAATAATGAAACAAAATAACATAAAATATGGTCTGCGTTTTATGTGTTTACCACAGATATGAATATTAAATAATTTCTTTTAGAATTAGAAAATTTTTATTTGAATGATTTGAAAAACAGAATCAGATATTCAGCAAATAGAATCCGAGAGATTCAAGTCTCAGGACAGTCCTCATTTTCATCATTTTCAACTTTTAAAACTGATTACGAGAAAACATTTAATTGTGTCTGTGTAGCTTTATAAAATAATATACAAAAATAAGCGGATTTTTTATTTTTTTTTCGTGGATTTTCAGAACTATACGGAAATCTAAATTTTTGGGAAATAAATTTGTGTAATTTTGTGCATCCATAAACTTTTCCTTTGGTCAGGTGAGTTGACTCGAAAAAAATTGTACCCGATCGGTTCAGCCGTTATGACGTTTATTGGATACAAAGGGACAGACAAGAAAAGTATATAAAAATAGAATAGCGTCTAATTTAAGATCACAATCTAGCGGAAAATGAATATTCAAGGCTTATATTGATTGTTAAATTTACCTTTACAACTGTGAACTCCATCAAACCATTCAGTTTTATGTTGGTTTGCTTCGGCCAGGGTTACATCTAAATAATAAAAAGTAAATAAGTTTTAAGGAACTGTCAACATATCTTCAAGGCCCCCTATTTGAAGATGTATGTCCAGGGGTGTATATTTCTCAGAATAACCCCCCCCCATGGGGAAAAATTGAAAATCAAAATGCAACTTTTTTCATTCTTTTTGATAATTTTTACCCAAGAATTTATTCATTTTCACCATTAAATCTTTTATTTTTCCTAATTCAGCGAATAGAACCCTAAAGAAATGCATAAGGGGAGGGGGAAGAAAAATAGAAAAAAAAGGATTGAGATATGTTTCTGTTTCTTTCTAAATTAACTATAAAATTTCAAACTGTAGTTGCTCTGTAAAAGTGACTTGTGAATCCAAGCAACAGAGACAAGAAGTAATTAAAAAACAAATTTATGTATTTCAAATTTGAAAAACAAAGATATCATTCTCTTTCAGTTTTAATAGTTAACAAGGTTTAAGGCAAGGGCGTATGTTATCTTAGAAAAATAAACCCTCTCCCTCCATCTCTTTGAACATCATTTTACCCCAGAAGTAGCGCTGAACGGAATTTTTTTAATTGGAAAATAAATGATTTTTAAGATTGATAATAATTAATAAAAATAATTAATTAAAATTAATAAACTTTTAACATTCACTTTAGAGTAAACTAGTTTGGGAACCCAACCTTGCTTCACTTTAGTGTAAACTAGTTTGGGAACCCAACTTTGCTTCATGTTTTCCTTATCAAAGTCAACTCACTAAACTTTAAAGATTTAAACCAATCTTAAATCATTCCCGTGGTTCTACCGACTTCCCCGATCAAAACTTGAGGCCAGTCGGTCCAGGGGTTCCTGAGTTATGATCGGACATCCAAACCGACAAACAGAGATTACTACTTAATATTTAGTTCGATTAACCATTTCGACTTTTAACTATTCATCTTGTAAATGCGCGAATTTTTCTCATAAAAATGTGCAATTCATCACTTTCTCTCCCTTGGGCTGACACAAATATATTTAAACTGTTCTCTGGGAGAAAAAGTTAAAGAGTAGGGATGAACAAGGCTAATAATGTTGCTTAGAATGGGATAAAAATACTTGAAATTAAACCGAAAACGAACCAAAAAAGTAAAAATCACAACAAAAAACTTAATGTTCCATATGATATGAGACAAGGTTGGCAGACGCTGAACTCCAACCTTCGAGTGTGCGAGGTGGGAAAGACTTCACTGCAATGAACACTTTTACAACAATTTTCAATTAAATTAGTATTTATTTAGGGTTCGGTTAGGTTGAGACACTTTCTGGGCCGAGCGCTACGGCTAGGACAGGCTATGGGGCCGAGCGCTGCGCCCACGGGTTAGGTTAAGTTATGACAGTTTCTTTTACTTCGGGTTAGGTTAAGACACTTTCTGGGCCGAGCGCTGCGGCTAGGATTTAATCTCGATCTACAAATGTCACCCCCCCCTTAATCATGCTTTTATTTAAGCGCGGCAGTGAAGTCTTCCCCACCTCGCACACTCGAAGGTTGGAGTTTAGCGTCTGCCCACAAGGCAAGTTTATTCAATTCTATCTGATTGAAAAATGTGCGAATTTTATTTATGAAAATACGTGAAAAATGAAAGGAGCCAGGAATAAAATGTCACTGATTTGCCTCGGAACAAATAAGAAACTTTCTATACCCGAGATCATGAAATTACACGTAAAATTGTGGGATAAAAATTCTCTCAAAATTGAATAAAGTTGTTTTTATTATAAACAAATTTAGAGTTCAAAAGTTTTGATTTGACCTCAGACCTTAATTTTCTTGAATGTGCCCACTTCTGCCTCAGAAATACTTCTGTGTAGTATTGAAACCTGTTTCCAAAATATCACATCTTTATCAAAGCTCTCAAATTTACTATCAAATGTAAAAATATTGAGGTTTTTTATCACAGAGTGGAAGCATAGGGGGGAGGTTAAAGAGAAGATACAACTATTATTCAATTTAATATTGAATTCTGACAAAATAGCTTTTTTTAATATGTGTTTGATAAAAATAAAATATAATGATATTGTTCCTGGTCGAGCCTGGGGAAAAACTTGTACAAAAATTTCAGCATCGGTTTCTGAGTCATTATATACAGAACATTCCCATTACTCGGGTCAATGATCGGTAACCTAAAGTATTTTCATATAAAAAAATTAAATTTTTCAATTGACCCAAAAGTAAAGAATTGAATGCTTGATTCACAACGATACCCTTTAAATATTCTCATTTTTCTATCAATAATAAAATTTTTAATTCTGTGGATTTCCTACTTTATCACTTCTTCTTTTTTACAGAGACATGATATCAGAATTTAGAATGATCAATGTTTTAGTAAGAAAACAAGAACAATTCCCATTTTTACTCATCATGAGGTTTTAAAGAGTAACATTGTGAATGCAACTCTTCAAATACTATGTCACTTGAAAATACGGCAAAATACCCGTTAATAAAATACTTTTTAATCCACCTATGTATTTTGTTTCTGATGAGTACGGATGCTGCATCAAATAGACTGGAGTCAGGATACATGTGCAGCACATTACTAAAAATAGACTAGAGTCAGGATACATGTTCAGCACATTACTAAAGAAAGACTAGAGTCAGTATACATGTGCAGCACATTACTAAAAAATAATGAAAGATATTTTCGGGATAGATTATATAGATATTAAATATATAGGGAGTTGATAACAACAACAATTTCTTTAAATCTTCAAAAATAATATTTCCGGTGGGAGGGGGGTGGGGGGATATTTCTTTTCATTGTTTTGAATACAAGACTTTTTTCGCACCCCCTTTCCTATAACAGTTACAGTTTTTCACTGTTGCAATGAAATGTATCTCAATTTCTTTACTTTTCTCGATCCTTATGCTATGACCCCATGAACCATTCAGAGATAAGGAAAATTTTGAAAATATCTTTTCCCGTTGATTTCTTGCTTCTTTGGTCTTTGATCTCAATCCGTGGATTATTTAAGCACTGATTCGTCTATATATTTACTTTGCTTGTCTGGGTATCTGTTCGCATCCAATAAACGTCAAAACGGATGAACTGATTGATTGGGCCCAAATTTTGTGTAGGAACTCTCACTGACCCCAAGGAAGGTTTATGGTTGCTCAGAATTTAAAAAAAATTGTCTCCAAAATGTTTCATGGTTGTAAATTTTAATAAAAACATTAAAACAGTTTTGTTTTAAATTCACATTGTAAACAGAGAAGATGCTCGCAGATAGAGCCACAATTCAAAGTTACAAGAGAAGCTGATATAGAAAACTCTTTGCTCATATTTATTAGGGTGACCCATTATGCAGGATGTCAGTTATCACAGGAATTTTATTTTAATGCTCTTAGAAGTGGTCGTGCAAGGCCATTGCAGATCGCAAAAAAGTCTACATAGCTGAAAAATATACGCCTGGAACTTATCATGTTACATATCATTTTTCTTCATAATTGTAAAAAAGATTAAATCCATTGAAATTTTTGAAAAATTTCAAAAATTGACCTAGTTATGAACCTCAATAAGATGTTTTTTTTTCCGAAAAACAAGCAATTTTGACGGGTTTTTTTTTTGCCTAGCTCAGTCAATTTTTCAATTTTTTCAAAAAGTTCTATGTATTTAATATTTTTAGAAAATTACGAAGAAAATGAAATATGACATGATAAATTCAAGAAATAGTTTTTTTCAGCCATGTAGACTTTTTGCGATCTGGACAGGCCTTGCGCGACAACTTCCCATTGACCTAGATAAAAAAAATTCCTGTGATAACTGACATCATACAGAACAAATGTTAGACTGTTAAGTTTTTGTGGAATATCAGACTGCAAAATGGGTCACCCTAATATATATATATGTTGTATATAAGTTAGCTATAGCTGGCCAAACGAATATACAAAATTGGCTGAAATTTTTGGTGGGTAACATCGATTTTTTTCAAATTAAAATTTTTTTTCTTTAATATTTGTATTTTTAAAAGTGTTTCCAAAATTCCACGGGCAACGCCAAGCACATCAGCTAGTAGTATATATACCTCTCAAGTTCCTCTGAAGACACAACCTTGACGTCACAAAGCCTGAGTTCCTCGAAGGCCTGCATCTCCTCCCCCGGCCCATTGTAATACTTCTGCAGTATCCTGACATGGGAATATGTTTAGGGGAACATCAAGGGCGGGGTAGGATAATTTTTTATAAATGGGGGGGGGGAGGGGTGAAAAATTTTACTTTAAGAGCCATGTTTTAACTATTTTCTATAATTTTCCACTAAAATCATATTTTCAACAAATCAGCGAAGAAACCCCTATAAAAACGCATACCTTCTACCTAGCTTCTGGGAAACAAAAAAACTATTTTCATACACCCCTAATGTGTATTATTTCAAAAATCTTTCTGTAGTTTCAAGTGACCCTTAATTTCTCGAGTCGCATACTCGTCTTACACCGGCGACCTATAGATTTAATCTAGGAAACAATTGGAAAAAAACGTCGTTTTCTGAATTAAAATAAGCCGAATTTTGTAAACTAATTTTTTTAGTTTAGCAAGGACAAAGATAGAAGGGTCCAGTAATGAATCGGACATACCACTCTGTGATTAACTGATTCAGGAAATATGGCGGGAAAAATGAATTTTGTCAAGTTTTAAAAATCACTAAATATATATATCTATATAAATAAAGTTGTAATCTCTGTTTCTGCCTGTCTTTTCCGATCATAACTCAAGAACCCCATGACCAATTTGCCTCAAATTTTGATTGTTGGGGAACTCGGAAGACTCACGGGAATGTTCTTTGTTTGGTTTGACATTCTAAGTTGAGAGGGTCGTCTTCAATAAAAAATTAAATAAAACCGTTCGGGTAAACGGCGGGAGTAACTTTTAGCAAACTTGGCAGCGCTGGGTTCCCAAGCTAGTATTATATTATTTTGTCTATGACTTCAAAACAGGTGTTTGAAGTTTGCAGTTGTATATTTTACACAAAAACAAATTTATAGAATGGAGGGGGGGGGGGGGAGAATGGAATAAAATCTTGTGAAAGCTTAAAATATTTAGTACCAATGAAATTTTTCAATGCTTTTATTATTTAATTAATACCTAATCTCTGCAAATAAAATAACCCTATGCAATTAAATTGTGCAATTTATGTGTTTTCATTCAGTGATCATTAATTATCACTTATCAGAATGAAAGTATAACAGTCCTCTGCTTAGAAACTTTCGTAAGTTTTTTCAATGTTAATTAAACGCTGAACATAAGCCTTAAGCATTTTATTGATATAAATTACATATTATTTAATAGTTGTAGCCTTTACAAATTGCACCATTGTTAATATACAAATTTGTTTGTATTAAAATATAATTTCCTTTAAGTATAGTTTATAGTTGGGGTTGAGTCGTATGGAACTATGCACAATTGGATTAAGTTCAGTTTTTACTTCAGAGAACAGTAAGATTTAAGAAAGCCTAAAAATGAGTCACCTAATGAAGTCTGTTATTGTAAGCATGCCAATGAACTGTTGTCTCACTGAGTCCCAAAGAGGACAGGCGCGTACCCCTAAAAGTCATTGCAGTGAAGAACAAATTACGAGTCAGCTGCACAAATTTAATCGTCGAATCTTTGTAAAGGGGATGGTGGAGTTGGCACATTTGATGTAGGGGGGGGGGGCCCTGCCTTCATTTTTGGTTCAAATCTTCCAATTTTNATTATTATATGAATAAAATGTTATAAGAAGATTGTTGTGTTTCAAGTGATATGTGTATATTATTATATAATTATTATATGAATAAAATGTTATAAGAAGATTGTTGTGTTTCAAGTGATATGTGTATATTATTATATAATTATTATATGAATAAAATGTTATAAGAAGATTGTTGTGTTTCAAGTGATATGTGTATATTATTATATTATTATTATATGAATAAAATGTTATAAGAAGATTGTTGTGTTTCAAGTGATATGTGTATATTATTATATAATTATTATATGAATAAAATGTTATAAGAAGATTGTTGTGTTTCAAGTGATATGTGTATATTATTATATTTTTTACATTTCTTATTCCAAATCCTTAACATGATTCTGTTAAAAGCAGTGCTTAGGATCCGGATCCGTTGGATCCGCAATATTTAGGCTTTCTGGATCCGGATCCAGATTCAAGGAGCAAACTCTATCAAATCTGTTAAAAAAATTTTGTGTTCTCAAAACTCAAATCTTTGCTGTTGAAAAAAGGGATATTATCTTTAATACCTTTTTTTAAACTGAATTATCAAGTTTTATCTAGAAAATAAGCAACAACAAAAAAGAAGAGAAATAATTTGAATAATCTACTTGTCAAAAAATATTCATGACCTGGATCCAGAACCGGATTTGTTTAAACAAATGAGTAGAGATGTTTAAGCGTGAACATACAAAGAAAACTAGAAATCTGTGGAATTGAAAGACGACTTTGGACTAAAGTTATGACTTAAAGTAGTCCAATGAGAATGAGCCAGGGGAATTGTATACTGTGCAATGATGCATTGTACATGCATCCATTTAACAGGGTATTTTAAGTTACTTAGTAAAACTAATAGCTTTACAACGACAAAAAAATGCTTTAAATGCCGTCTTCCTTTCTAGTTTCCGGCCCTCACTGTAGAAAATTGACTTTTATAACATTTTAGTCATGCTTCAATGAAACCTGGTCCAATTAGAAACAGAAAAATTTGTGGAGATCGTCCGTTTTTTAAGAAACTCAATTGTTTAACATGTTTTAAACTTTTTTAACGTCTTTTACCTTTAAGAAAGCTGTAATTAACCCTAGCTCCATATTGATATAAAAAATAAAAATGTTTTTCGTCATGACCTCTGGAGGAACTAGTTTGCCCGTTTGTCTGTTTTGAAGACTCAAAAAAGATTAGTTCTAATACATAAGCGTTCGCCTTACAATAATTCAATATATTGCTATCTTAATTCTGAGTGGTTATCCTTTTTTCTTAGAAGCGGGGGAAAAACAGTTAATAAATATAGCCCGTTGTGTACGAATATCCACAAAGGGGAAAAACAGTTGAAAAATATAGCCCGCTGTGTACGGATATCCAAACAGGGGGAAAACAGTTAAAAAATATAGCCCGTTGTGTACGGATATCCACACAGGGGAAAACAGTTAAAAAATATAGCCCGTTGTGTACGGATATCAACACAGTGGGAAAACAGTTAAAAAATATAGCCCGTTGTGTACGGATATCTAGACAGGGGGAAAACAGTTAAAAAATATATCCCGTTGTGTACAGATATCCAAACAGGGGGAAAACAGTTAAAAAATATAGCCCGTTGTGTACGGATATCTAGACAGGGGGAAAACAGTTAAAAAATATAGCCGGTTGTGTACGGATATCCACACAGAGTGAAAACAGTTAAAAATATACCCCGTTGTGTACGGATATCCACACAGGGGGAAAACAGTTAAAAAATATACCCCGTTGTGTACGGATATCCACACAGGGGGAAAACAGTTAAGAAATATACCCCGTTGTGTACGGATATCCACACAATCAGCTTTTTAAACCACACTGTGAGGACTGAAAAATGTTTCCAGCCAAGTTTAAAAAAAAGTTAATCCTTAAAAAATGTAACTTGCAATTATTTTTAGCTCGTTACTGAAGAATGCTTTATTACATTGCCCAATCAAAATTGTAAATTTTTTAAATTATAAATCATAGAAAAACATAATTTTTTGTTACCTGTGTCTACCATAGCATAGAAAGCTCTTTTTACGATTAGCCTGGTATCCAAAACAACTAAATATATTTAATGATAAGGGGGGGGGGGCACGAAACGTATTACTCTCCGGAAAATTTAAACAGTGTAAAACAAAACTAAGCATTGTTGCAGGAAGAGTAAATTTTGCACGCAAACTCAACATGCATTTTATGGTTCTGAACGAATCTGAGCAAAAGTCTGTACGCACTTAACATCAAAAATTGCAAGTTTCACATCCAAATAGCATGAGATACATCAAACTATAGCAAAATTGGGACAAGGAATTCATTTCCGAAGTCAAAATGGACATTTGAGCATTCTGACCGGCGCGGTAGTAGCCAGCTATTACATTATAGGTCATCTTAGTACATATTTTACAGGTTTTATGTCGATTTATAGGTAAAAGGTTACGAGGAAATCGCGCGCATTTTTGTTCAGATCCGTTCAAAACCATATAATGAATGTAATTTACATATTTTTGAGTTTGCATGCAAAAAATCGGCTTCCTAGGACAATATGTTTATACTGTTTTAATTTGCCGGAGAGTAATACGTTTCGTGCCCCCTCCCAATTTTTTAAATATTCCTTTATTTTTTTTTAATTTGGAACTTATAAAAATTTCACAAAATTGATCGCGAAGAATCAGTTGTTTTGGACTGATGCTTGCACTTAAAACGCAATTTTGGAAATCAGAGAGAACGGAAAATAATTCTTTTCTTTTTTAATCAATGTTACAGACGTTTATTATCTAGTAAATGGTTTTGAAAAATGTTATTTTTATATTTTAAAAGCACTTAAACATGACTGCTATAAATATACATTTGATTGTCTGTCCATTTGTACCCAATAAATGCCAACAACCTTTTTGTGGGACCTCGAATGACCCCAAGGAAGGTTTATGCAATATACATCAGATAAAAAAATTTGCCTAAATAATTTGGATATTTCAAAATCCAAGAACAAAAAATTAATAAATCTGCGAAAATTTTTTGTTTTTGATTGATAATTTAAAAAGAGAAAATGCTGGGGATAGAGCAACAATAAAAGATCAAAAAGAAGTGGCCTAGTAGTTTAAAAAAGCGGTCTAGCAAGAAAATTATGAAAATTACCTAGTTTAGCTGACGTAGGGATTAAATCGTAGCATTTATAACATTTGAAGAAGTTTAATATATCTTCATCGCTGGACGGCCCATCTTTACTGAATGCAGCTGAAAAAAGGAAAATAATATATTTTAAAAGAAAACATCAAACAGAAGTTTGGCAGGTCAAACTGACAGACAAAAGTTCAAATAAAGGAAATAAGTTCATTAAGAATACATTTCAGATTCAAAAGGAGAAAAATTAAGATTCATAGGGGCAAATTTTAGTAGGACAAAAGTTGAAAAAGAAAAATTTTCAGAAAGACACAAGATCATAAGGATAAAAGTTAAGATAGAAAAAGTCTGATGGACTAGAAGGACGGAAGATCAGAAGGACTAATGTTCAAAACCAAAGGGTAACAAGTTCATAGGAATATAAGTTTATATAGACTGTAAATTGTCCAGACTGGCAAACAGGTAGAAAAACTCGGGTTTGGAAATTAATTTCGATATATTTTATATCCTAAGAATGGTGGTATTGTCATTATATAGACTACTGAGAGGTCTATTTTTCTGAATCAAAGTGATTTTTGATGATTAAGAAGGATAAAATGAAAAATTGTCATCAAAAGGCAACTTTTTTCATTCGTATTGACACTTTCTACCTAAAAATTCATTTATTGTACTTTTAAAACCATTTACTTTCCCCAAATCTGCGAAAGAAACCCAGAAAAAAGTGCACGCGGGGGGAGAGGGGAGGGAAAATATAAATTCAGAAGGACTAATGTTCAAAGGGGATCATAGAACAAAAGTTCATAATGACTACAGGGAAATGTAACATAAAATTTTAAAAAACAAAATGATTTTTGATGATTAAGTGGGAAAAAAAAAATTAAAATTTGATACCAAAAGCCAAGTTTTTCAATATTTTTGATGCTTAAAAAAACATAACTTGTAAGGGACAACATGATATGTTAAAGGGGGAAATGATTTTTTGAAGAAAATATACACGCCTGTGAAGACAAAAGTGGGACAAAGGAGTTTGCGTGCTACCTAAAGGCTGGACTACAGGTGCGCCAGTAGAGTTCCTGAACAGTATAGCCGAGGAGGTTGACCCATGACCGGGAGCCTAATCAATCAATCAATCAATCAAATTAAATATATTATTCAAAACATGTTTTAATTAGGTAATCATGTATTTCATCAGTCAATCAGTTACACGAACTATCAGTTTATCAGTCTCCCAAGCTATCAGTTAATCAGTCACCGGAACTATCAGTCAATAGTCACCCAAACTATCAGTTAATCAGTCACCCGAGCTATCAACAAATCAGTCACCCAAACTATCAGTCAATCAGTCACATGAACTATCAATTAAGCAATTAACATTCTAAGGTTACTTCACTAAATCACTATTTGCTCAGTAAAAGATATTTGATTAGTGATTTTCATCGCAATTTTAAAGGAGACCCGGGAAAAAATAGACTATTTTAAAGTGGAAAATGACGAATTTAACTATTAACGATATAAAGGAGAAAATTAACTTATCAGGGAAAAATTCACTATTTTAATGGAAAAATTAATTGTAAAAAGGGGAAAGCTAATTTCTTAAAAATGGAGATAAATAAACTATTTTAAGAGGAACTATTTTTCAGGGAGAAATTAACTTCCTCAGGGGAAAATTAAAGGACAAAAAATTGACCATTATAAAGGAAAATTAAGTATTTACAGGGGAAAACTATTTTTTCCGGGGTAAAACACTTTCAGGGAAAAATTTACTATTTTGAGAGAAAATTACTATCTTCAGAGGAAAAATTGACTATTTAAAGGGAAAAATTGACTAATTATAGGGGAAAATTATTTATCTTATGGGGAAATTCATTTATTTACATGGGAAATTTTAGGGGAAAAATTATTCATTCATTATTTAAAGTGAAAAAGGATAAATTTAAATAATAAAGTTTCTCACCTTGGAGGTCTCTGTGATGGAAAGAGAGCGTGTTCTTGAAACTCGTGGGTGGTACATAGCTCTGTTGTACCCATTCTACACAGTACAACAATATTTAGTTAATAGTATTAATAAATATCATTTATATACCCATACTAGTAAGGTACAATATTTAGTATGTAGTATTTGTACATAGCTATTATATACCCATTCTACACAGTACAACATTAGGACATGGTATTAATACATAGCTCATATATACACATTCTACTCAGTGCACTATTTAGTAAATAGTATGAATATATAGCTATTATATACCCATTTTACACAGTACAATACTTAGTACATAGTATTAATACACAGCTCTTATATAATTTTTCTACACAGTACAACAATATATAGTACATAGTATTTGTTCATAGTTATAAATTTATGGTGCCCATTATACGCAGTACAACAATATAAGATTAGAACCCACCAATAGTTTAAGTGTAGGACTGGGAGTGGGTAGGGATCAGATTAGAACCTACCAATGGTTTAACAAGTGTAAGACTGGGGTGGGTAGGGATCAGATTAGAACCTACCAATGGTTTAACAAGTGTAGGACTGGGGGTGGGTAGGGATCAGATTAGTACCTACCAATGGTTTAACAAGTGTAGGACTGGGGGTGGGTAGGGATCTACAGGAGTCCGACAGCTCTATTGGAAATATTTCCTGCAACTGGATTTACAACGTTGTCTTCTTGAATACTACTTTTCAATCAGGTTAAAAATGAAAATTAAAGAATTGACCCCCCCCCCCCTCCCCATCACCTGCCTCCCTCTTTTCTTCATTTTCACCGGGGTTCAATAAAAATATCTTTTTAGAGATCAACAGTTAGAATTTAAAATTAATTGGTTGGTTCTTACAAGCCTTTAACAAAAGATTTTATAATCTTTCCCTTTAAATACATGCTGTTTGACTAGTTTCTCAGTAAAAATGAATAATAGTGAATATATGTATGAGTCGGTTTAATTTAAAGGCAGTTGTCTAAAGGAGTTACGCGCGCTTGTCGCGTTGAATTACAAGAAAAAGAGAATAGTTTTTATTTTAGGGTTAGTGTAGCAAAAGGTGTGTAAACAAGATATTCTGTAAAATTGCAGTACGTTGTACATTTTTAATGATTTAATGTTGTAAACTTATATATAATGACATTATTCGTAGAGACCGTGATTCCATTGAATACTTAACATGATTAGCTTAAATCATGCGACATAATTGTATCCGCTAAGGTTCTCTTTGAAACATACGAGCAAAGGTTGTGCCTTGATAATTAGTGTACACCTCTACGGCTTGTTTAATAGCCCGGCTTGTAACCTTGTGTGGCATTAAGAGCATAGTAAGCTTGCAAGATAGCTAAGGTTCTCTTTGAAACATATGAGTGAAGGTTGTGCCTTAATAATTGGTATAAAAGGATACGGCGTGTGTCCTTGTGAGGCATTTAGAGCATAGTACACTTGTGTCCTTGTGTGGCATTTAGAACCTTAGATTTAGTCCTGGTTAATTGTGGTATTGGATAGATCTGGATAGATACATCTCGAGTAAATTGTTATGGATTAAGTATTTGCTATATTAGGTAACGTTAAGACAGTTTCTGGGCCGAGCGCTGCAGCTAGGACTGACTAAGAGGCCGAGCGCTGAGGCTAGAACAGGCTCTATCTCTGTCCTGTAATTCAATGCGGCATGGGAGTAACTCCTTTGGGTTTCTGTCCAATTTATAAGTTCTTAAAAGGTACTTTAGACGTAATTTCAAATGACTGTCAATTTATAACGTCGCTATTCTTAAAACCTGAAGAGCTGGAAATCGTCGGTTTCCTTTCTTGAGAAGTATTGATTTCAGTTAATTTTCCAAACGTTCATTTTTATAGAGAAACTAAGATTTCAAATTATCCATATTAGCTACAGAGAAAAAAATAACAATCTAATTCGTCTGACATAGGTTTAAATTTGACATTGCACATTTTAATGAAGACTTCCGTGCTGAGTTCACACAGTACGCTTATGCACATTTTTCATACGGCTTTTCACTGAAAATTTTAGAGACATACGCACTGGGGTTTATATCCATGATCATTGATCAGGCTAAGGTTTATAGGGTACTGTTGTGAATCAGGGATATTCCTCTCTATATGGAAGGTCAATTGAAGTCCTAAATGGACTGTAAGTGTAATTTCATGTGTTTTCAACTATAAGTTGGCCCACAGTTCTTATTTTCAAATTATTCACCAAATAATTTTTTAATAAATCCTCTAGCAATAATTCTAATTGACCAAATTTGTTTATATTATCAGTAAAAAAAAATTATGAAAATTTAAGTTTTCAAGAGCAAAGTTATTCCTTATCGCAGCTGTCGCTTTGCGGCATTCTCGTCTGTCAATTGTTAAATTATCTGAAATAAATATTATTATTTCAAAACTCGAATTCTAAGTAGAATTTTAAGAAATATGTTCATAAATTTAACCTAGCCATTGGGGCAATATTCTGAATAGTGGATTTTTTACCACCAGGGTTAACGCATTTCTTCTAATAAAAAGGTTGGCATTTTAATGTTGTCTTTGATGAACATTATTTATTTTCTTAATTTTAAAACTAAGAATGTTAAAAATTATGGATTACGAATAACTTTCTAATCAAAATTTTTCCAATTTGACCGGATTTTTTCTTGTCTTGTAAGCAGTGAGTTGCTACAAAAAAATAGGCCGATCGGTTCAGTCGAAACAAAAATATATAGATGTAGCTATTTATATACTTCAATGAAGGTATAATAGAACTGTATTGATAGTTTATATGGAAGGGAGGGGAGGAGGTGGTTTCTTGAATGTACAGATTTAAGAAAAATTTCCAGAGGGAGGGGGGGGGGGTAAACGGATTATTCAAGGTAAATACCTCACCCCCCACCCCTCCTAGCAACAACCTGCAGTTATTGTTGACTCCTTTATTGAATGAAGTTCCTCCCCTCCGGTCCACATGAAACTAACAAAATCTAAATATGTCCTGCATGCTGCATCGGAAAAATTTTGATCAAGAAAAAATCAACATAAGCTTATTAAATCTTTAGAATCTCAATATTAAAAAAATTATATAATTGAAAATGAAAAAATACAAATGAAAGGAAATCTTATTGTATAACTGGGTTCGAGAAAATAAGTAATTATTTTTGACTATGACATCTGAATCATCGTGCCCCCCCCCATCTATTTATCGGGGGTGGGAACACAGTTAGGAGTGGGGGGATGAGATGCTTATCAGATTGCAAAGGAGAAATAAGTAAAACCAAACAACCTTTGACAACAGGCCATAAGATCTAGATTTCCATAAAATAAAATTTTATTAAATAAATTTTTTCATGACCTTGAAATCGGCTTGTCTTACAAGCAAACATGAATGTGTTAATCTTTACGCAACTTTTTGTTCAGATAAGAACTATGCAATATTTTGCAACATGAACTAATGTGTGTAAAAATTATAGTAAAGAATTTCAATCCCCCCCCCTCCTCCTTGACCCTCAACTAAAAAAATAACACAAGTTTATTTTGTTTTAAGTTGTGGTAATTGTTTACACAAAGAAATTTTTGTTCATAAAAAAATGATATAATTTAAACAAAAAATTAGAAATATTTAACTTTAGTCTATTTGTTTATTTAATTTTTTGATGAAAATATTAGGTTGTAGGGAACGTGTTTTAAATGAAAATTGCACACTTTTCAGGATAAGTGTGCGTCGAGTGTGTCATGATGAAAAAAACCTTATAAAAAGCTAATTAAATCTAAGATACTCACGCGAAATCTGAAACCAATAAAAAAGTTTAACTAAAAAAATAAACTGTAATTTTATATTTGAGTGTAGCTGTGTAAATCGTAAGATACGTATAAAATTCTAGAAATAGTACATCGTACAAAAAAAAGCTATCGATTTAAAGATAGTCAAATATTTTTAAGACATAATAAATGAAAAAAGAGGACCAAAGAACATATTTGTTAAACATCCTAGTTATTCTCTCTAAGTAATTCTATTTAAATTTAAAATAAAGCAAAAAATTCAGTTTTATTATTTTTTGATGATTTATATCCAAAAATGCATTTAATGATTTTGAAAGAGGGAGGGAAGGGAGATTTTTTAAGAGGA